AAGCTCTGGAAATCATTCTGCACAGAGAGTACATCTTTTTGGGACAGATCGTTAGTGCCAAGATGTACAATAGCCTCCACATCACAGCCCTTGCTGCCATTCTTAATTATTTTAGAAATACGTTTCTTGTCCCTACTGACAGTAGCACCTGGAAGACACCTGACCTCTTTCGAAGCCTCTGTGTCCTTTCCTAAATTTATATCCCTTATAATTGAATCACCTACCAGAAGGTAGCTTCTCTTTTTGGATGCCTTTCTGTTCTTGCATGACTGATGTGTAGTAGCTGATTCACACTTCTCTCTGTCGAAATCTAGTTCTTCGTCTTGGATCACAATCCGACAGACACCTGGCTGCAAGAAAATAATCTTTGTGATGATGTCCAAGACCTCAATGGGTCACACACTTCCAGAAAAAAAGCTATTCTGGTTTCTGATCTTTTCCACATCCTTCATTACAATCCTTGGCCAGAATAGTTTTTAAATCTGTTTCAGCTGATAACAGTCTATAATTGGTGTATTGATTAACTTCCAGCTTGATTGTATAATGTACATGCGTAGAACTGCCATTCTGCATTACTCAGAAACCAACTGGTACAAAATACTGCAGGTTAATCCTATAAATGCCAGTTTCACCAGTTCTGAACTGTTAACATTAAATGTTTTACTTAAATACTGCTGGTGAAGGAAAAAGAATGCTGACCTCAGTACATTAGGAGTGCTATTCCTGCAATATCCAGCTGCTTTTGAGAACATTGCCACTTGCTTATTTTCCTTTCTTACCCTTCATTCCTGATTAATCATCTAATATCCGAGTTTCTCTCTCCCCAGTTTAGATTGCAGGAGACATCATAAATTCTTCATGGAATGCATGTATAAGAATGAACTGGCAGGCTGCAGTAATTAAAGCTAAGTCGGGGTAGGGTGCTTCCTAAAGAAAAGCCAAGAGGTAGAATGATGGGGCAGAAAGACTTGGTGACTGGTGCTATGTGTCACCCCTTCTCCCCCCTTTCCCCTATTATCTCTGTATCCCTCACCAGTGCTGCATTAAGCTCCTTCTGTCACCCGGATAGGGGGTGGGGATGGGAATGAATGACTGAGCTATCATCACGTGTGTGCTAGCCTCCTAAAGAAAAACTGATTGACCAAAGTGTTGCATGCGGGAGGGAGTCTGACACTGAGAAGCGAGCTGGGAGTAACTCTCAGCCGGGGAAGGGCTTGCTGCAGAACTCCCTCTCCTCCGCCGAGGCACCCCCACCCCCACCCCCGGGTCCCGGTATCTATCACTGCATCCTCGCACGGTGCTGCCGCCATGGCTTGGCCGTGCATCAGCCGAGTCTGCTGCCTGGCGCGCTTCTGGAACCAGCTGGACAAGTCGGACCTGGCCGTGCCGCTCACCATCCACAATTATTCCGACATCGAAGAAGGGGCGGAAGCGGGCGGTGGGGGCAGCCCTCAGCAGCCTCGGATCCCGCCAGGAGACACCGCCAGCAGCCGACCCCAGGCCCCTCCGCGGGCAGCCTCTGCCCTGCCGGCGTCCGCGTCCGCCCCCTCGTTGCGGGACAGCCTGGTGGTTGTCAAGAGGCCGTCGAAAAAAAGCGGGGGCAGGCACCGGAAGGAGCCCTTCGCCGCAGAGACTCAGTACCAGCAGGATTTCCGAGCGTGGCCGCTGCAGAAGAGGGACACCCTGCCCTGCCTCGGAGAGTGCCGGAGAGCTGAGCCCACGCGGGCACCTCCAGCCGCGGGCGCCCCAGCCGCCTCTCCCCACGCTGACATCCTGGCAGGGTCTCGAGTGTACGTGCTGCCGGCGGCTAGGCAGGAGGGGAGCAATAAGGATGCTGGCTCCAGACAGGTGTGGCCTTTCTCCTCGCCTCCAGGTATCGCCAGGACTTCTTACAGGTAACTCCTTGAATTTTTGTCTGCGATCTAATTCCCCCCACCCACCCACGGGCTGCAGTCTTGACTTCAAGGGACAGCATTGCTCCATCTCTTCAGGCCACAACAGATTGTATGTATGTATGTATGTATGTATGTATGTATGTATGTATGTATGTATGTATGTATGTATGTATGACCAACTGCTTGAATATGCTCAGGTCTTTCAAGGCAGGCAAACTCAGGAAATAAGAACCACTAAATTTTTTAGAGAACTTTATTGATAGTAGGGTAATGCAACAATCTTAAAAGCCTGGCAAAGCAGTTCTCCAGCTCTTCTGTAGCAGAATTAAGGCAGAGCCACTTTCTCATGTTTTTCCTATTCCCTCACTGGGGAATTGTTTCTCAATGGTTTTGCTTCTTCTGTGCCAGTTGTGCTCCCTCCTCCATGTTCCCAGGTGAGCTAGACATTTCATCCCAAATATATACTGAGCATGTTGTTATTTAGATTAATGTCCTGTCCTTTCTCCAAGAGCTCAAGTGGGTTTGTTGTCATGGTGGAAGGTCATTTTTTGCTTTCTTTATATAGTACATATGTAACCAAATTGGCACTATGAATATATTTTCAATGGATCAGGCATTGTATTTAGTTATATGTAATTTACATTCTATGTAAT